TTCCCAAAGGATTTGCCACCAGGGCTACCCCCTAGCCGTGAGGTTGATCATTGGATTGAGGTTATTCCGGGTTCTAAACCACCCACGAAAGCTCCGTATCGGTTGAACATCAAGGAGATGGCTGAACTCAAGAAGCAACTGACGGAACTTCTTGACAAAGGTCATATCTGACCTAGCAAGTCACCTTATGGAGCACCAATCCTTTTTGTTATGAAAAAGGATGGAACCATGAGGATGTGTATTGACTATCGAGCACTCAACAAGATCACGGTTAAGAACAGTTATCCTTTGCCTCGCATTGATGACTTGTTTGACCAACTCTTAAAGGCTAAATATTTTACGCGACTTGATTTGAGGTCCGAGTATCATCAGATACGGGTGGCGACTCAGGATGTGGAGAAGACAGCCTTTAAAACTCGGTACGGATCTTATGAGTTCCTTGTCATGCCATTCGGGTTATGCAATGCTCCGGCAACGTTCAGCACTATGATGGATAGAATATTTGGAGATTATCTGGATGCATTTGTCATTCTATATATCGACGATGTTCTAGTCTTTAGTGAAACGTTGGAGGATCATTTGAAACACTTGGAGCTGGTGTTTCAGAAATTGCGCGAACACAAACTATATGCTAAGGAAAGTAAATGTGCTTTTGGTCAATTGCGCATAAACTTTCTTGGACATATAGTTGGTGGTGGCGTGATTGAAGTCGATCCAAAGAAGGTGGAAGCGGTGAAGTCCTGGGAAGTCCCGACCACTGTATCAGATGTTCGTTCCTTTCTCGGTTTGGTGGGATACTATTGCAAGTTTGTCCGCAATTTTGCAAGAATTGCTCTTCCGTTGACTGAGTTGACGAAGAGTAGTATTCCGTTTCATTGGACACCAGCTTGTCAACGTGCTTTTATACGGTTGAAGGAGATCTTGACTACGGTTCCTGTTCTCAGGATCCCAGATCTTGATAAACCCTTCGAAGTGCATTGTGATGCATCTGGATATGCTATTGGTGCCGTGTTGCAGCAAGATTGTGACAAAGCGGTTGGTGTTACGCTAAGGCGACATGGTTGTCCCGTTGCGTTCTATTCCAAGAAATTGGATGAGACCCAACGAAGATGGCCAACGCATGAGAAAGAGATGTTTGCTATAGTGTCGGCCCTAGAACACTGGAGACACTACTTGGGTGGACATACCAAGGTTTATACGGATAGTAACACACTAAGTTACTTTGCTACGCAGCCTAAGCTTACGCCGAAGTAGGCTCGTTGGCAAGAGAAGCTTGCTAGATATGATATTGAAATCATATATAAACCTGGTAAAGACAATATTGTTCCGGATGCGTTGAGTCGTCAAGCTCAATTCCGGGCAATATCGGCAATCAGTTCGGACTGGTTGGAGGACGTTCGGGCTTCATATGGAAGTGATCCATTGGCAAAGGCAATCTTATGCCATGCGGGGTTGTTGAAGCAGAGCCCTGGTAGCGAAGCAGCAAAAGTTGCTAGTCGCACTAATGCGAAACTTCACTTCTCAGTTCGGGATGGGCTTATATTCTATAAGCAAGAAAGATTGTATCTTCCCTCTAAGGATCTTCAGCAGTTATTTCTACTGGAACATCATGATGTTCCAACAGCAGGACATGGTGGACAGCGAAAGACTCTGGCTTCATTGAAAAAGGGATTTTTCTGGTCTGGTATGGAAGGTGATGTAGCGGATTATGTCCGTTCCTACCCTATATGCCAGCAATGTAAGTGCAGAACTGAGAAGCAGGCTGGAAAGTTGCAGAGCATTCTAGCACTGGCATGGCCATTTCAAAGTGTGACACTTGATTTCGTCACTTGCTTGCCGAAGTCTAAGGGTTATGATACTTTGATGGTGGTTGTGGATCGGTTGTCAAAGATTGCACACTTCATTCCAACTGTGGGAACAGTAAATGCGAAACAAGCAGCAAAGCTCTTTTTCCATGAAGTAGTGCGAGTTCGTGGTCTTCCTGAAGAAATGATCTCAGATAGAGATTCGAGGTTTACGGGGAAGTTTTGGGGAACACTCTTCCAGTTGTTTGGTACCAAGTTGAAGTTTAGTACGGCTTATCATCCTCAAACTGATGGGCAGACCGAACGCGTGAATGCTCAAGTTGAGGATTATCTGCGGTACTATGTCGCGGCGGACCAACTCGACTGGGTTGAGCATTTGGATACAGCAGAAATATGTTATAACAACACATTTCATAGTGCTATAGGCTGTTCTCCATGGGAGATGCTGCAAGGGAATGCTCGTGAGGTTCCTCAACAGATCGTTGTACCGAAACCAATGACCGAAGTGTTGGTCCCAGCCGTTGAGACTTATGCGGAGCAGCTACGCCAAGGTTGGTCTAGAGCTACTGAGGCGATGGGCAAAGCTCAGGATAGGTATCGACGTGATAAGGATCAACATCGTCGGGATGTATCCTATCAAGTGGGAGATCAGGTGTGGCTATCTTCCCGAAACTTGAACATTAAGGGTTCTCTGTCTCGGAAGCTCTTGCCGAGATATGTTAGACCCTATCGGGTGTTGCGGCGCATTGGTAATGTATCCTATCAGTTGGATCTTCCTGTGGAGATGTCCAATATTCATAATGTATTTCATGCCAATCTCTTGGCTCCATACACTATGGATGATGCATGTCAAGCGGAGATTCGTCCACCACCAGAAGTTGTGGATGGTGAACCTGAATATGAAATGGAAGCTATTTTGGGTACACGCTGGCTTAAGCGTGCCAAACGTCGAGAGTATCTAGTTAAGTGGAAAGGTTACCCATCTTGTGAATCAACTTGGGAGCCTCTTAGTAATCTTACACATGCTCGTGAGCTTGTCACGGAGTATGAGAATCGTAATAAAGATTAGCTTTTGTAAATCTTGTAATCAATCTTGCAAATCAATAAAGTAATATATTTCTATAAATCAAAATGTCGTTTCTCTCGTTCATTCGTACTTGGGTCAGTTTTGGCAGGCTGACTTCGGCACTTCGGTGCATGGGTCCAATCCATAACCATGGGGATAACTATTATAGACTGATCATAAGTCCCCGCCTCTCTCTCGATGACTCATTTTCGAAAAGGGGCGTGGTCGTGTAAACAACTTAATCTGCTATGTCCCTGCGGGCAGGGATGTATCATTCCTTTTTAAGCCGAGTGGTACTCGGAGCAACAAGGGTGGTTCACTCTGTTAGTCATTTCCTTGTCGGTGACGGCCGGAGGGTGTCTGAGTCTTAACGTCTTTGGACGTAGAGGAGAGGTAGTTTCCTAACTCATTTAAGTCGGTGTGTTTCCCACATAGTGTGCTTTCCGTTAACTTTCGGAGTTGTTTCCTTAACGGTTTGCTAGACTCGGGTATACATCGACGAGGATATCGATCTTCCCCAAGGGGGGGAGAGTGTCGCGAATGTGACTTCGGGTATCGAAAGATATTTGTCGACCAGTCCTTACGGGCACTCTTTCCTTACTGCCATGACGGCAGGAGGTCGGTACTGCTGGTTCCCTTTATTGGCCCCTCTTGTCCAAGTGTTAGTAAACTGGACTTAGCATCTGTACTTGGCCGGATGAGCATAAGGAAGGAATTCCTAAGTGTTTATTTAGCCAAGCATACTTGGCCCGGCTTGTTAGTTCTCTTTTGCTCTGTCTTGCACTGGCTTGGCAATAACCCTCGCGTATTGAGACTAGTCCCTCAATATTCGCTAGATGATAGCTTACCGTGTCTGCCAAACACCCTCGCTATCATACCCTTTGTGTTGGTCTCATTTCGGTCCCAAATGCTATTTATGGAAAGTGTCTAGATTAGCTCATTTGGCATATCTATGGAATGTAGAGATCGGTCTGAACACAATGGTGTTCGTCCCGTGTCCAAATTCGCAATCTAAAGACATTCCATATTTAGTAAGTTTCGGACTTGTCCCAGAGACTAACTCCTGGTACTAAGGGAGGCTTGGGGTGAAAGCCCAAAGCGTGTGTCCCTCAAGGGGGGGGGGGGCTGTGGGGGGTTCCAAATGTATAGTAGGGATAGTGGTTGGAATGCATGTCCGACCACCTGAGACATTAGTTTGGCTCCCGCTGGGCTGTGTCGCTCCTTGTTCTGCGTCCGGCTTGGGTCTAAGCCCAAGCTCCACGCTGCTCTAGTCGGTGGAGTACCCTCCTCCTTGCATTAGGCCACCGGTATGCCAAAATTGTGCCAGACTCCGTCTGACACCATTTTGCGTGTAGGTGCTGGAAACGGGGAGTTTGTGCTCATGGGATTGTACCGGACCCTCGTTTCGTAGTGCAACGGGCTTGGAGTTCGGCTCCAAAATTCAAGTGCGCTACAGCTATTTATCCACTCTTGTGTCCTATTTGTTCTTGGACAATCATTAGTAGCTGGAGAGTTGGAGACAAGGGATTTAGATTCCAAAATTCTTTGATATAAGACATGGGCTTTGTTGAGCATCACGTGGTAGAAATAGAATTTCACAGGTTTTTTACATTAGTCATTGGGCATAGCAGCATTGTAAGTTTGTTATTGCTTGATATCAATTATCCAAGATATATGTGCCAGGTTTAGGGTTTAGGGTTTAGGGTTTTGAGCCACACGCTACATTGGCCGTCATCAAGAATGACACATTGCTGCCTGGATTAGAACTGTCAGATCTAGGGAACCAATTGTCTGCAAACTTATCGATGCCAAGTCAGTTTGTAAAACTCAACAAAGACTTTCAGATGTGATCAGCTCCAGGGCTCCGAGGACTCCTGTGTGGAGTGAAAGTTCAGGCATTGATGCTTGATAGAGTTGGTATAGCAAATTTGATTGTAGTATAAGTTGGCTTTAATAGATGCTCACATTTGCATGGGCATTGAAGCGCTCATAGGATTTTGATCAGGAAACCCAGGAATGGAGAGGCTTGGCATGCCATTCGCAAGCCTTCAATCCATGGCCTGTTTTGGTCCCTTCAGCTAGGTAAAAAGTTTTAAGATTTACTGTGAAGTGTCAGAATTTCTGATAAAATAACAAAACATGAGAAACATTCTAAGACATCTTCATTTTGCCAATCATATCCCTTATCAAAGTGCCGAGTGTCTTTGGCACCACAGAATCCTGCAGCAATAAATGAAAAGATAATCAAAGGTCAAAGACAGTGTAAAAGAGGGACAAGGAAGAGTGATTTACCTGCGACTTGAGCAGCACCATCTCTGTTATGCCCCGAGAATGCATTATGTCACATACGGCCGCGTCCTTGGCCACCCTGTCCTGGACACCAAGCTTGTCCCAAAGACCATCGTCAAAGAGCGCCTTAGCAGGGACAAGCTTGGTGCCAGACACACTCAGCAGCACGTCACGTAGAGCATCTTCGGAGAAAAAGAGGCCCACCTTTCTATTGACGCCAATGCCGCGGAGATCCACCACGACACACTTTCTGATCCCGATCGCGTCCACAGCGCTCAGCTCCTTGTCAGGATCCTGTCTGCGGTCACGAGACGCCTGGATGACCTTCCTGGCCGACATTGTCATTGGCATGCCCCGGTAGTCCTCGTAGTTGACAACCCAGTCCAGAGCTCCATACTCCAATGCCTTGGTGGGAACCGCCAGAAGGATGTAGCCGGTGGAGACCCGATTTCGCCAGATGGAATCCGCTTCCTTATAGACGAGGACTTGTTTAGCATCGAGCTTTCCTAGAGTTTCATTGATCACGAATTGCGCAGGAGGGCCTTGCCACCGCAGGCCAAGCTCGAATGTGGAGATGCAGCCCACAGCTTCGATGCTCCTGATCTGGCATGGTTCCAGCGGCGTCATTGAAGGCTCCATCTCGTTGTCATACACGTAGGCTGGAATGCTCCAAGGCGCTCCCCAGTAAAGGGCATTTGCGTGTGTACGACGCTTCTTGGGACAGATGTTTCCATGAGCGTAGCTCAGGTGATCGAGCAACGTCGTATCGGGGCAGCCATATGCAGTGAACTCCCGGTTGTAGCAGATATCGGAGAAGAGGAACAAGGAGGTGGTGGTGTTATCATAGACGAGCTTGAGAGGAGGAGCAGGAGTACGAACACGAGCACGAGCTCGGGCTCGAGCTTCCGCGAGTGTGATGCATCCGCGGGCAGATCCACCGATAACTCCTGCGCCCACAAGCTAAAATGTCAGCCGCGCTCTTGCGCTCTTCTACTCACTCACCTCCAAACAGCCGCCGCCACACCATGCCGTCTAACCCGGAGCAAGAGTCTCCGCGCCGCGGGCAGATCCACCGATAGCAGCTGCGCCCACAAGCTAGATGTCAGCCGGGCTTCTACTCACTCACCTCAAAACCCGCCGCCACACCACGCCGTTAAACCCTTGTCCCTATTAGGGCAAGTTCTAGATATTTACTTATATATGTATCTTGATGTCTCTAAATGCGGACCACATTGCGTCGTGGCATACCTGTGGCACGCCTGGCATAGTGACTTCCGCGCGCGCGAGAGAGAGGAATGAAGCATGAGGCTTTTGAGCATAGTCAATGAGAGAAGTAGAAAGGAAGACAACCTTAAACAATGGATTTTTATACATCACTGAGGAAGATTAATGTTGGTTTTGATCAATGTTGGTAAAGATGGACTTAAAGTAAGGATCTTAATCTACCCTATGGGGTCATAGTGGAGTGGTGAGTATTTAAGGTAGTTTGGAGGTGGTTAAGAAGTGAGGAACCTCAAAAGAAAGTATAGCATAGTCTAAACAAGGTTAAGCTTTCTTTATTATTTAGCACTATAGAGCAATTTCTTATTAAACATTGTCAGGGGAGATTAAATATGGTGGTAGATGTTTTATCTTGTTAAAGTTATAAACATGATTTTGTCATTATTTAAGTAAAGTGGTTAGCAAGTTTGAGCAGTTGGTAGCTTAAAATGTGAAGGTGGTCTTTTACCAAGCTTGGATGGAAGCATCTTTTTGAGTTTTTCTACTACAACATCTATGTATATTTGTTATAAGCAGATGTGTTGATTAATCAAGTTTTTTTCCACTATCATAATTAGTAGGAAGACTGGTCATTTTGGGGGAAAGACATATTAATAAAGCATAATTTTTATTAAAGGAATATAAAGCTAATATCCTTAAGTATTGCAATTATATAAGCTCTATCAATTGGTAAAAATGCCACAAGAGAAGTTGAGGGACCTTTGCCTATTCCTTAGAACTGTTAGTGTAGTATCTTATAGATTTTATCACTTATTTGCCAAGAACATAAAAGTAGAAGGAATAAATATGGGTTATAGTGAATTAATTGACAAAGTATATGTGGTTGTTGACTCTTTAGAAGATTGTCATTACATTAGATTTAATTGCAGTCTACTTTGAGAAAGTCTTATTAATTTTAGTTTACTAAAGGATATTGTTAGTGATTGAGAATACTTGGGCCTAGACCCAAGTTGGACACATAACAAAGATATACACATTTAATAGAGAGCTATACAATGTCTCAAATTAGTTAGTCATGTTTAATTTACCCACTTGTAAGTTTGTAAATATCTCAAGACCTTTAACCAATTGAAAAGGGGTTTGTTCATAAGTTTTTTAGCTTTATATTTAAACCCTAATGAATTCTCTCTTTAATTGCTTACACCATTATCCCTATTATTTGGAACACTCCCATTTGGATGTAGGGGCTTCCAAATGTATAAATATATAATAGGGATAGTGTGTAGGTTGGGCATGGTTGACTAACCTAATGCATAGTACTTGTGTGTCTTTATTTTATGTCTAACTTAGATCTAAGTTTAAACTCCATACCATGCTAACTGGTGGAGTATCTATGTTATGCCACCAGTATGCTGAAATAGTGTTAAATTCTATTTGACTCCATTTTACATGTTAGTCTTGGTGTTGGGATATTGGATGTTCCAAGACTAATTCAATGTTCATTACTCCTATCTCTTCACTCCTTAGGCTATATGCTCAAGAGTCATTATGTGCTTAAATTTCTTTACTCCTTAACTCTAAACTTAAGAGTTTAGCTCCATACCTTCATTTAGAGGCCTAAGGCTCTGAAGCTCAGTCTACTCCATTGCTATTGGCCCATGTGTCCAAGGGTTTAAATTCCATTCTATATAGTACCTATCCCTTCACTCCTTAGGGTATATATTCATAAGTCATTATGTGCTCTAGTTTTTTTGCAATTTAGCTCAAATGTTAGGAGTTTAGCTCCATACTTTCATTTAAAGGCTCAAGGCTTTGAAACTCAGGTTTAGCTTTGTTGTCCTTGGCCCATTTATTTAAGGGTTTAGGTTCCACTCTGTGATATTTTTATGGTAAAAACCACATGTGCTACATTATAAAGGAAGTGCAAAACATGAATAAAACTCACAACCTTCCATATGTGAAGGAGCTAGATTATTGGGGTTTTTTAATTTTTGAAAGGTAAAGTTTTTAATATTTTTTCATTGCTTCAAATTGCTTCAATTAGTTTTGTAATTGTAGCGCATGTGGTTTTAACCCTTTATCCTATGGTGTTTCACCATAGAATAACCATGAAGCAAAACCTAAACCCTCCATGTGCCATGTGTTATATATCACATACCACATGCCACGTGTCCAAAGGACAGTGGTGTAGAATTCAAGTTTTAGAGCCTTGAGCCACTGAATGAATGAACAGTGCTAAACTCCCAAGCATGGAGCCAAGGAACAATCGCACTGGAGCATGGAACGACTCCTAAGCATACAGCCCAAGGAGCAAAAGGATAGGAGCACAGAGCAACTTAGATTAATCATAGTGTAACTAACATCCTAATTCTAGGACTAGCATGCTGTGAGACACAAAATCCCTAGGCCCCAAAGTGGAGCCGGAAGGGTGCGCAATATGGTGGTGGCCGAAGCAAAAACCAAACGAGCATAACACGTTTGGACTAAAAAGCTCCGACTTGAAAAGGTCGAGAGTGGAGTGGAACTCCTAACGAAATGTTCAAGGAACGAGCACAAAGCGAGCAATAAGCAAGGCTCTAAAAAGGGACCCAAAAAGGACCAACACATGACACGTGGAAGTGTTTGAGATGGACCCGAGATGGAGTCCAAGATGGACCCGTGATGGACCTGAGATGGACTCGAGATGGAGTCCGAGATGGAGTCCGAGATGGACCTGAGATGGAGTCCGAGATGGACCTGAGATGGAGTCCGAGATGGAGGCCGAGATGGAGTCCAAGATGGACCCAAGATGGAGTCCGAGATGGAGTCCGAAATGGACCCGAGATGGAGTCTGAGATGGAGTCCGAGATGGACCCGAGATGGAGTCCAAGATGGAGTCTGAGATGGACCCGAGATGGAGTCTGAGATGGACCCGAGATGGAGTCCGAGATGGACCCGAGATGGAGTCCGAGATGGAATTCGAGATGGACCCGAGATGGAGTCCGAGATGGAACCGAGACCGAGACCGAGACCAAAGCCGAGACCGAGACCGAGTCCGAGTCCGAAACCGGGACCGAGACTGAGTCCGAGTCCGAGTCCGAGTTCGAGCCCGAGTCCGAGTCCGAATACTAATATAGGCAGTTGGGTGAAAGCCCAAAGCGATCGTCCCCCAGGGGGGGGGCTGCGGGGGGTTCCAAAAGTATAGTAGGGAGAGTGTGGGGGTTGGAGCCCAATGGAGTTAGTTTGGCCAAGAAAGGCCAGTTTGGCCCAGGAAGGCCAGATCCAATGTTGGGTGATGAATTGACCACTGGGAAGTCCAAGACTAGAGTGAATACGGACTGACAAGCGGGGTAGCTTGGTGAAGTGTTCAAGAGCCGGCTCTAGTTCCCCCGAGAGATCGGTTGACCGATGCTCCCAGTCCAAGTGTGGGTGGCACTACCTGCTTGGATACCTGGTGTGGCTCAACAGAACCTCGCTCTAAGCCCATGGCTAGAGCACCCAAAAGCGAAAGGCGGGGAGAGTACCCATGAGGCCCCCATAGGGCCACGGTATTCCGAAATGTTGTCCCAAGGGCCCAGACTGTGGAAAGGAAAAGGAGTAATCCTTTGGTGTAGTGACCAAGGATACAGTTGAGTGGTGAGGAAGTCCCAGAGGACCGTGGGACTTAGTGGTCGAGCCTGTGGGCCTCGATCCAGTGGCAGTGTTGGCGAACACGGCCATGGGTAGAAAGGGACTTGGTGAAGACTGGAAAAGGGATATTGGGGAAGGCTATTCCCCATGTCTGTGGGCATCCTAAGGATGCTAAGGAGTGGATCTAGAATGATCCCTCATGGATGGATGGCCTAGTCCTTGAGAGATGGGACTGTGGTGCAGGTGGTGTTAGACCACCAGTGTGACCAAGGTAAAGGGGCATGGCCTTAGCATAACGGGCTGATATGTCGGTAGTACCTTGAGGTGTCGGTCATGGGATCAGACACGTGGAGCACTTGGATCAAGTGCAAAGGTTGAGTGGCAGAGATGCCATTCGGGGCTAGCAAGCCCAAGTCTAAAATAGGACTTATGGAGGTTGTGAGTGAGACTCCTTCAAGTGGTTAGAGGTGTGGTTAAGTGACTAAAGTAGAATGGAAAATTTAGTCGCTTACACATGCAAAACGGAGCCAAACGAAGTCTGACGCCATTTTAGCATACCGGTGGCCTAACGCAGGTACTCCACTAGCTAGCATAGAATGGAACTTAGGCTTAGACCCAAGCCGGACGCAGAATAAAGACAGGCACGCAAGCTAGAGCTAGACTATGCCTCAGATTGGTCAACCATACCTAACCTACCCACCATCCCTACTATACATTTAGAACCCCTATAGCCGCCCCCCCCCCCCCCCCCCCCACCCCCCGCCCGCCAATAAACACATGCTTTTGCAAACTTTGATACAGGACGAATTCCATTGTGTTCAAGACAATCTTTACATTCCATAGATATGCCATCTAAACACTTTCTATAAATAGTATTTGGGACCGAAATGAGACTAACACAAAAGGCATGATAGCGAGGGTGTTTGGCAAACTATCATTTAACGAATGTTGAAAGACCAATCTCAATATCGTAGGGGTTCTTGATACTAACAAGGGCAAGCCAATGACACAAGTTTCTCAAACCAGGCCAAGTATGCTCAATAAGAAATACATAAAGTTCCTACTTTATGTTTATCTAATTTAAGTGCATGGTTATGAACTAGTTTCTCAACTAGCTCAAGTGGGAAATGATAATAAGTTCAGCAATACCAACCTCCTGCCGTCATGATAGTAAAGAAAGAATATTTGAAAAGATTAGTCGATAAATAACTTTCAATACCTAAAGTCACATTTGCAACAACAGTAACTATTGGTTTGCGGCTATTTATAATTTTCCAAAGGAAATGTAAAAGGACTATTTTCCATTTTGATCCTATGATCC